AATTAATAAAATATTACAAAATAAAGATTATTTTTTTTAATTTTAATAAATGAAAAATTAAAAATATTATAATATAAAGTAATAAATTAAAAACTATAAATCTAATAAAATAAAAAATTAAAACCTTTCGCATTTGAAAAAGTAAGGAGCTAAACCGGCGTTTTCCCTCTCTTTTTTCTCTTTTTGATAGGACCTCTCTCCTCTTTCTTTTGGACGTAAAACAAAAGAAAGCACATGGATTGGCCGCCTTCTCCGAGTTACAGCCCACGTGATTTGGGCCCACCAACGCGGTTTCGACGATTGTGCTTCACCGCTATTCTTTTATTACCCCTTACTTTTATGTGTTTATCCTCATCCAACGATAAAGCTGGAGGCGAAATCTGTCATTGCGGAAAACCTCAAACTCCAACCCGTGGGCGCTCGTCCACTTAATTAGAGCCGTCGGATCTTCATCACGCGACTAATTATCACTTAAAAATTTTTGGGTTCAACGAGATTGCTCTGACTGTCTACACCCGATCCTTAGGACTTTACCTAACAGATATTTGGGTGTTACTTTTTGTTTACTTTCCAATTTATTTAATCCGTGCTTCATACGCGCACGTGTAGTGTTGGGGTAGCCAAAGGCAAAACCATAAGTTAAGCCCCTTAACTAACCCCAGAATCACTATTAAGCCTCTAAACTTTGATTGATGCATATAAGCCCTTAAACTCTGCGATCAAGGCAATTAAGCCCTTCTTCTTACGCCAACTTAACCGCCGTTTCAGACTCACTCGCCTGGCTTAACTGCCATTTGGGACTTGCTCGCCTTGCTGCTTGGATGGCAAAATATTGCCATGTCATGCTTATATGACCATATAACAAGGGATTTGATTTTTGAGTAGGATTTTTGACTTATTTGATCATTTAATTTTTTTATTTAAATAAAATCTAAATAAAATAAAGTCATATATTTGGGTAAAAATATTATTTAAATAAAGTCTTAAATTTAAATTTAATAAATATAGTCATAGATATTATTTTTTTATATGATTCATTATGATTTAATTTTAAATTAGTTGAAAATAATATAACTTTTAAAATTTGAAAGTTTAACAAAAAAAATAATATCACTTAACATGATAAATGTATAATTATATGACATAT